TGAGTCTGTTTCTCCCCATCCAGACCCGTACGGCCTCCAGGCACCGGGCCATCACGTCAAGGGCATCATTGGGGTGGCCTGGGGTGGAAATGTACAGCTGAGTATCGTCAGCGTACTGATGGAAATCCACCCCAAAGCCACGAATGATCTCACCCAGCGGCTTCACATAAATATTGAACAATAGGGGGGAGAGGACCGAGCCAAAATGGAAGAAACCAGCAAGATGAAGTCCAACAGGGACCAATACATAGTTGTGAGTAGGAAAATTCAGCAGAAGATGAGAGAGATCAGGTGGGGCAGAGCATGTGCGAAAAGGGCTGTTCTTTCTTACGCTTGTTGGAGGATGCAAGGCCACAAAGATTCCAGGTCTCTGCAGCTGCCTCCGATAGGCATTTTGAAAAATATTTAAAATTATGTAAGGCCTGGAGGAACGTTGTCCATGGGGTCGCGATGGGTCGGACACGACTTCGCAACTAACAACAACAAGGCAGCCTTCTAGCCATCAGCTTGTTCTACTACCTGCTTTACAAGACCAGCCTCAAAACTTCCTCAGAACTTTGTATGCTTTGTAAAACATCCACCAAGAAGGGGCTGCCTCATCCCAGCCTCCTCAGGGCCAAAAAAGGACAATATTGCTTTTTAGAGATTCCACACAGCTTTTTAAAGCAGAAGCAAGGTAAACATTCGCATAAAAACAAAGGGTTTCCTTGCTGAACACAAAAAAGAGGATCTCCCGTGGGCTAAGATAACATGAGCTCAATTCAGTTAATTTAAACTTGTTTTCTTTCTCCCAAACCAGGGGTAGGCAACCTCGGCTCTTTTACGACTCATGGACTTCAACTCCCAGAATTCCTGAGTCAGCATAGCCCCCAAACCCTCCCCTCCCCATTGCAATGAGGTCAGTTGTGTTAATATCACATTGCAAATCTGAGTCTAGGGTTGCCAGGTGTCCACTATTTGAGTGGACAGTCCACTTTTTTCACATTATGTTCACTATTTTTTTTTCACAAAATAGTGGACATTTTTTTTATTCAAAAGCTTTATGATGAAATGGTACGTAATCTAAAGCTGTACAGTCTACTTTTTTTACTACTTAACACACACACCCCCGGCTTGTCCGCTATTTTTTGGAAGCAGACCTGGCAACCCTACAAATCTCAACAAACGTTTTAAATCTCTGTTTACTCCATTTTTTTCAATTGCACGGGCGAGGATATGCACGATCAGAGATCTTGTGTTCAGATGGACCACAGAGGGACCTTCTGAAAGCAACTTCCCCAAAAGCCCATCAGTAAACAGCCCAGCCAAAGAATCCCTAAGACCGCCCCCACCCACCCCCCAGACAAGCAAGACCCCAGAATAGACAGCAAACAGCACCCCTTACTAGGCACTGATGATGTTACCTAGTTAGGGTAATGAAACGTCTGCCAAGAAAACAAGCCAGCTCAGAGAGTGGTTCCTGGTCAAGCGATGGTCCACTAAGACTCCAAGGTCCCTCTCGCAGTTACTGTTTTTGAGCCAGGTCTCGCCTCCTCTGCCCTTGCACCTTGGATTTTTGCTGCCTCGATGTAAAACTTTGCTTTTCTCCGCATTAAAATGCATTTCATCCAAAGGGAAGATCGCTTGGGGTTCCTGGTTCCCGGCTGCGAGAGGCTTTGCCGGGGGTGGGGGGAGGGCGCAGAGTCCCCACCCCCTCGCCTACGCCCCTCCCCTGCACCCCCTTTTCTGAGCCCCGCAGTTCTGCCCCCCTCGTGGGTTGAGCTTGGACGTCTGCCTAGTAAACAGGAGTAGGCAACCTTGGCTCTTTTATGACTCGTGGACTTCAACTCCCAGAATTCCTGAGCCAGCATGGCTGGCTCAGGAATTCTGGGAGTTGAAGTCCACGAGTCATAAAAGTGCCAAGGTTGCCTAGCCCTGGCCTAGCAACAATGACGATTTGGAAGGCTTTTTTGGGGGGGGGGATAAGCTCGGCCAATCACCGTCTCACTTTAGGTTGCTGTTCGCCCGCAGCTCCTCTTCCTTTTCCCGGGATTTCAAGGAAATGGGGGGCGCAGGTTGAGTTTTGCGGCCAGGATGGCTCTGCGCGCTGCGCCCCTCTTGCTTCTGGTGTTGGTGGAGATCGCCCTGCGGGAGAGCTGCTTCAGCGACTCCCTTTCGGGATCTTTTCCCTTTTATGGGATCTGCCTCCCCCAGATGCTCCTTCTTCGGTTTCAGACCCTCCCACCGCCACCGCCCCGCCTCCCAAAATGTGGCGCCATTTTTGCAGAATTAAACACGTTTGTAAACAAGTATTTACCATCCCGCGACAGTCGGGGAAGGGATCTTGGGATTTTGCAAGTTGCATCTC